CAAAATGTATATCTCAGAATCTTGATATCGATGACCTAAGGTCAGGTCAATTTTGCGACCTCCCCATTATAAAGTCAATGGGAGAAAATTGAAATGCGCCTCTTTTGGACGAAAGACATTATAAACACTCCCAAACACTAAATTACAAGTGGTTTAGACACACTGAACATAAAATTGGTGTCCGTGACCCCTGTTTATGCCCTGAGGTCATCTTAGGTCACGAATGGTATCTAACAGTTTTTCGCAAATAACTTTTGATAGAGGCATGCTAGAGCATTAGCGTCGCCACGGGGGGGCAAGCGGGGCAGCTTGCCCCCCCAACCTTGGACCGGGCACCCCCTGAGATCGATACAGATCCGATGAGATTTTGGAATCGGGGAAAAATGGGGGTACCTTTCTGAGAATGCCTGTGAGGTCAGACTCTGTTGGAGCGTGCAGTTCAAACCAAAGTCAGAGTCGCAGTCGCCAAAATCTTCAAGACTCCGACTCCAGACTCGGAAATGTCAATGCCATGATTCATGCCATGTTCCTAGTTGGTTCTGTATTACATTTTGTAGCTGATTTTCATAAATTTTGGAGTGCTGACACATAATTTTCGTTCAAAGCGTGACACGAAATCTTCGGGGCCTTTCTCAACTCTCGTCAAATGTCTGCGACAGGCACAAGTACCGTTCAAGTGCCGCAGGGCTCATAAGCCTGCTTTTCACACAGGCTCCTAAGGAGCTCCACTGAGCTCTAAGAAGCTTTCGGAGGGCCCAAACCGGCCTCTGAGAGTCCCACTGGTGTCCATGTTCTCTAGAGGGCCCATACAGGGATCTTTGAGGACATTATACATACGTAGACCTCTGAAGGGCCACACGAATCTTTGAGGATGCCTTCGAAAATTTCTGAAAACCTCAACTGGCCTATGATAGTTCAGCCGAACTTTTGAGGCGACAGACTTTACTAAACCCCAACCCGGCATCTGAGGGGTCACAACTCCGTGTCCCTCTGAGGGCCGCAACACATGTTTCTTATGTCCCTAACAACGTAGGGTCCTTAAGGATTCGACACAGACCCCGACGGTTCACACTGTTATTCGAGGGCTCCAGGCTCACCCTGGGCCTAGTCTCTTAGCGCCCGCCGCCCACACTGGCTTCTGAAAGCTCGTGTGCCCTAAAGGGCTTTCTGGGCCCACCTTAGGCTCGGAAAGCCCTAAAGCACCACATACACGTAAATATTTGGGGTGACCCACGCCGAGCTCCGGGATCCTAAGCAGGCTTCTGAGAGTCCACACTGACCCTCAGTGGCCTGAAATGGCCTGGAAGTCGCAATCCTATCTCTAAGGGATCCCTTGCCGCTATGCCGTGCGTAACTTTTGGTTCCGTTAAATATTTTTGGTCGCGTTTGCAGCGCTTCCCTTCACTCGAAAAACCAGAAACTTTTTGTTCACACTTGAGTGAACAAAACACTTTTTCTCACTGCAAGGATGAATGATGTACTTCCGATTCACACTTCCGACATTCTCTCTCAGTCTCCGCCGAATGCCCAATTCTTAGCTACAATCGGCGGCTGGGATAAGCCCTATGCATTTCACGTAAAACCTCGGCATGCATGCGTGAATGGAGGTTTTAGCGAGGTGATCCGATTCAAATGGAGCGTTTTTCACCTTCTTCTGGGTAATGATCATGAGCGACGAGAGTCTGCACAGGGGCCCTCTGCAGTGCGTCGGCAATCGCAGCCACTGTAATTCTAACGGTCGTTTTTGTCCAGAAATTTCAAAATTTTGATTTTTTTTGTAAAAAATACATGCTATAGCTAGAAGGAAAACTTTGTCACCATCGGATTCCTCGCACCATTGCGCGTCGAATGATATGTAAAACGAGTGAGTAACGGCTGTGGAAAGGCAAGATTTAACACAAAACTTGATTTTGCCCCCCCAACCGAAAATGTCTGGCGACGCCTATGTGCTAGAGCGATGAAAACACTTTAGATGTGTTCAGCTCGACGATACGGATCGACTGATATGCAACATGACCCTTTCCGGTCAGGTCATGACCTTGACCTGAGGTCAAATTTTCAAGTTGACCTTTCAAGGTCAAGTTATAGTTCATTCGATGCGTCTTGACGAGAGGAACACGATGCCGGTAAAAGTAAGCTCGTACAAGGCTTGGGTCAAAAGTTATTGCAGAAAAATTGTTTCCGAAAAAATCGGCTATTTTTGCAGTTTTTGCCCCCTGCAGGCAAAACCGTTGACGTTAGGTCAAATCTGAGAGATTTATTCAGAAAGGGCGTTAATAGGGCTATCGAATGCGCTTTTCCGCGGCGCTGTAGCTCTATTGGTTCCCGAGTTATGCGTTGGCTTCTTGGAAATTGTCGACATTCGACCTGGAAATCGGCGAAATTTTGCCTTCAATGACCTCTGGTGACCTGACCTTTGACCTGACCAAAAAATTGACTGAAGTGATTTCCTCATTATTTTTGACGTTCTTTCGAACGCCGCCTTCCGCGTATCGCTACGTGGCCCAGGAGCCGAGTTAGAAGGGGGTGTTCAAACACCCCCCCCCCTCCCCAGCAGGGCGTGGAAATCCAGGACCCCCAGCCGGGCGCGGGTTAAACCTTTGGGGTACTCGAGGGTGGAGGCTTACTGTTAGCTTCTCGATGGCATGATAAAGCCTTGATCATCAACGAAGCAAAGCTAAAGACAACCTGTTCGTAACGGGTTGGGCCAAATGCTTTCAAGACCAGTCGACTTGTGTTGCCGGAACAGTTTGGACACCGCCCGTCTGCTGCCTTGAACTGTCGGTGGGTGCACCGATCTCGGTGCCCCCCGAGGGCCGGCCTGGCACCGCTGCAGACGCACGCACCGGCAGTGATCGGGCTAGGTCGCCCACCTTCCCCTTCCCCTCCCCTTCACCCGGCATCTGATTGTGGCCGTGAACCCAAACTGCCTTACTACGTGTCAGTGGGCACTGGAGATGTCAATCACGGGTACCAATGTTGTGGAATGCTTACCAATAGTAAACTGACATGAGGTTGATGTTTGATATTTGACCTTAAAAAACATTTGGCGTCTTGGGGTTTTATAAATTTTTAATCAGGGGTGCTCGGAATTCGATAAAAAGTTGATATTTTTTCCATTTTTCAAAAGATTAATATCCAAGAGATGCTAGCATAGCATTTGGCTTTTCAATGCTAAAGTTTTGTCATAAAGGAACTCAGTCCAAAGTTGGCATTGCTATGAATTTAATAAGTTTTATTTATGAAGTTGTTTTAGTTTTGACAGTTTTGTTTGAGTCCGGCTGGCATTTATTTGGTTTGGTATTCTACTTTTTAACCATCTGTAGGTACTTGGCATAATTAGTTGGTAGCGTTGACCAGCGATGCTAGTATAGGCTCTGCCTCTAACGTATCCTAGTTTTGCTTATTTACCCTCTTTAATTTTTGGCAACCTACGAAGTATCATTGTTAATTGCCTAGTCCTTTCCCTTTTCAATTTCTTATTCAGCCTCTCGCAAAACAACCACTCTTGTCCGGTATCGTGCTCCAAGTGCCGATATTAGCAATTTGCAAGCACGATCGCTAGGTGCATGCAAAGACGCTCAATAAAATACGGAACCCAAGGTCAGCTAAGGTGTCGCACCTGCGAGAATCCGGCTCCCAGGGCTCCCAGGTCCGTCTTCGGCCGATAGGGACTGACACCAGATACATATGGATGGGCCACATCAGATGACGTCAGGTTCATGCGCATCAAAAGTTGTTATACAATTCACATGCACCACAAAAAACGCACAGACATTGCAGTGTGGCTATGTACATGTTTAGGTATGCGTGAGCAGTGTGCGCTGCGGGTATGGTGATCTATGCACCATGTTCACACCAATCATTTTTACAATTAGGTATGTACAGCAAATGTATTCATCAGTAGGTATACGAGCTTTGCAGATTGAAGTTGAAATATGCAAATGAGTTCCCGGACCCGGAATCCCCGCGGCTGCGAGAACGGCTCGATTTTTGGCCAGTCATGCTCGCTGCTCACGTCAATGACCGCGCTGCGGACACGGACGGTGACGTCACACGATGAATGGTCCTTCGATGACGTCACTTGTGCAGGTGAGCTCCTCCGCTGCACCCAGCTCCTGTGGGATCGGTGGGGCCAATTCCACGAGTGGACCCAACTTCTAACTCCTTCTAACTCCTTCTAACTCCTTCTAACTCCTTTTGTTACCGAGCAGTTTGCGATTTGCCGTCGTCCCTAACTGAACTAGAGTTTCGGAAAAACGAGCTTATGTACCGAAATTGCGGCAACTGCTGCTTAATTCTAAGGCTTAAGGTCAACCGATGGCCTCTGGGCTCTGAGGTCACTATTTTTTTGGTAGGTGTACCTAGCTTTGTATGTGTGTTGGGAGAGGGTGTGAGCGAAAACGCACATTCAGGTTTTTCTCGCGCCATTGCCAAACGCTGCAAGATTTTCAGCTCAAATGCGGCTACTTTTTTTTAAAATATTATTTGCGCACATTCTGACAAAAAAAGCCAGAACGTTACTAGAGCGGAATAAATGCTCTCGACAGAACGTTTTTTTTTACCCTGCCTCAGAACACTTCGCGATCACGACACAACAAGGCTTTTCACAGAACGATGAGAACAACTTAAGTTCACTCTATGCATATTTTCATCAGTGTATGCACAATATCTGTATCTCAGAATTTGTATATCTCTGTGACCCGATATCAGGTCAGATTCATTATTTTACATTACAAATACAGACCTATAGGAAAATATTGAAATGCGTCCTTCTTCCAGCAAAAAAGTCAAAACCACTCAGCATGCGCCGTATTATGACATATTATCTCATCTGTACTGACTTAGGTGCCATTTACTGACAGGGCACCTGGGAAAGGTCAGCTGAGGTCACGTGTTGCTATCAATAACTTTTTTGCCGATAAATCACGGTACGGTGGAGCTACCGGGTGCAGTGGAAGGGTTCGTGGTGTGACTGTCATCAGCCGGTCTCGGTCGACCTCTGGCGGCTCCGGCACGCCACCGCTGCCGTGGACACGACAAGGGGCAAGAAACGGTGGCTGCCGGGGCGCACTTCCTGCTCGGCGCGCCGGCGCCACTGGCGCGCGCGCGCGCCCTCCCCAACGACCGGCAGCGGCAAGGTCAGTTGCAAAGCAGTCTGGGGTACGCCGAACTCGCAGATTGGTATCCAGGGGCTGTCATATTCCAGGATGCGCTCCTCTTGCCGAATTCAATAAGGTAATAAGCCCCTTCAGCGCAGTGAGAGTGAAGTGATTCCGACCATATGAACTGTCAGTTTTTACTGCGCGAGATTCAACCGCCAAGTGGTGTTCATTGACCTCCGGCACTGAGCCTGTTGATTAGTTGTTAATTTTGTTTTAACCTTCGCCCAGTGGGGGAGGGGCGTTTTTGGCCATACCTTCCAGTTTTTTGCGTATATAAAGAAAACCGCGGAGCACAGCGCCGCGAAATTTGGTATAGCTTATGATGCATCAATTTTGCATCGTGTGTGAAATTTTGGACCCCAGTTCACCTTATGTAACCATGCCACTAAAAAATAATCTTTGTGATTCTGTCATTCCTACAGTTTGCATATCAGAAGTTTGAAATCCATTGGAAAATCAGTTTCAACAAATTGTGTACCTCGGAATTTTGATATCGGTGACCTAAGTTCAGGTCAACTTTGCGACCTCTCCATTATAAGTCAATGGGAAAAATTGAAATGCTTTTCTTTTGGCCGAAAACACCCTCAAACATCGGGATACGGGTGAGCATAGCACATTGAACCGGAAAATTGCACCTGTGACCCCTTATAACCCTCGCCGGCACAGGCCATTTTGCGTCCTTCGACGGCACAACGGGGGGGGGGGGTTGGTACGACCCCCCTCGCGTTTGGCCCCTGATCGAGCTAGAGCTTTGCGAATAAAAAACGAGCGTGCCGCCCGTCACGAGAGGAAGCCGATGATACCCAATTTTAAGGTCCTAGGTTTTAACAGGTCAGGTCAATGACCCGAAAACCGGGAAAATCGGGACCTGTTAAAGTGTGACTGCTTTGTGGTTTTCCGGGGTGCTGATCACGAATATCGTATTAGTTTTGATCAGAGATGATGTCTTTAAGCATTTAGACCAGTTCGGGTCAGGTCAGGTCAGGTCAACCGGTAGGGGTTGTGACGGGTATTCGTAATACGTGTCAACCGCCTCTAACAGCTTCGTAACATGTCACGAAGGCACCAAACCTACTTAGTAAATGTTCAAATAGTTGCTAAATTCGAATTCAGCTCCAAAAACTAGCCTAGAAACATGTAAAACTCGAAAAAGTGAACCGAGGTCACCCGAGGTCACCAAAGGTCAATGACCTGACCTGACCTTCGGGTGACCTTGACACCAACCCTTATGTATGGGAGCAACATCAAATAACATGTTTGAACGTTTGAAACCACGAAAAGCTTGCAAACGCGCGGCTAATGCGAGCCGACATATACGCCGAATCGCGATTCCGGCCAAACATGGTCTCAGAAAAGAGGTCACAGGTCAAAGGTCAGTTGGGTCAGGGTCATGAAATTTTCAGGGTAGGTGTAAAATTGATCAATGCGAGGGTACTGAAAGTTTCGTCGCGATCAGCCGCTTTTTACGCCAGTTATTCGCGAAAAATAGCTGCTAAAATCCGAAAAATTTTAGCTGGGGTTGCATCAACGCCGGCACAGGGGGGGGGGGCCCCCCCTGTGCCGGCGAGGGTTAAGAGCTTGAGGTCATCCCAGGTCATGAAACGTCTACAACAGCTTTTTGACAATGACTTAAGATAGAAGCATGTGCTATAGCGCTGAATACACCAAGAATGTGTTCAGCTCAACAATACGAATCGAATGATATGCAAAATAACATTTTCTCTGACCTTGACCTGGGTCAAATTTCTAAGTTGACTTTTTCAGGTCAACTTGTAGTTCAATCGACGCGTCTCGACGAGACCAATGCGATGCCGGTAAAATCAATCAGCGTCATACAAGGTTGGAGTCAAAAGAAATAATACAAAAAGACGTTTCCATAAAAACGTCAAATTTTGATAATTTTTGCCCTCTGGAGTCAAAACTGTTGACCTAAGGTCAAACATGAGAACACGTTTCAGAAAGCTCTTTGAAGGAGCAATCGAATGCGCTTTTTCGCAGTGCTGTAGTGCTGTAAGCAGTGGGTCCATATCATCAATATCATTAATTGAGCATGCCCTTTGAATCATGTGAGTATACTGACCCATAAAACATGTTCCGCACATGTCCTGTTCAATAGTTTGTTTTTGGTACCCTGACCTGACCTGACATTGACTTTGACCTTTGCATGGTATCCTACACATTATACAATGCATCTTGTCTTGGTAGCCTCATTTTGGGTGATTAATCCGTCTATTCTCCGCTAATTTGGCTCCAAAGCCAGCATTGTAGAAAATCGCAGTTTTTACATTCGATCTGACCTTGACCTGAACTCTGCCCTTTTTAGGCAAAAGAAAAAAATGTGATCCAAAGATTCGTTTTGTTTAGAGCTTTCTGTTGTCGTTTCCCCTTTCTTTCTACGGCGATCCGTTCGAAAGTTAGACGAGGGTTGCAGATTGCAGAACCTGCCCCTTCCCCTCCCAGCAGGGCGCGTTCGGCTGAAGACCCCATCGCGGAGCGGGGTTTGATCATTCAGTCAGGAAAGAGTGACACATTACTTTCCTGATAATCTTGTTCCTTACATAATTTCAGTCGAAGAATTCATCTATCCAACGGGCTACGTAACAATTACATAAGGAACATGGTTCAATACATACACTATACAGGTATAAGCCTCAAGGAAATAAAATTTTGCAGGGCAAGCTTGTCACGCCTTGAGGTCAAAGAAAGTTTAAACCTCGCAGTGATAGCGGAGGTGACTCCAACGGACCCCCTCCCCTTTACGTTAAACGCTGTACGAAGCCAATGCCGGCGAGGCTTCAGGCATTTGTCTTTGAGTGTAGTGCCCAAGCATAAGATCCTTCGGTAAGCCTAAATATCACACCTGGATCAAATTTTGCACTGAAAGAGAAATGCAATATAGGTTAGCGCTGATAATTGACCCCATGACAGCAGCCTGCGGCAGTCAATGAGTCGCTCCGCTGCCGGCCTGGCTGGCTGGGCCTTCACGGGGTCGGCCGTGGTCAGGTCGTGTGCAGTGTACGTATATTGGGCATACGGCCGACCTTGGCTGCCGGCGGTGATAAAAGGCCGTGTGGGACGCGCGCCGGCACCGGTGGCGGCACTTTCTCCAGGGAGGCGGCGCACGATGGAGCTCCCGACTGCTGTGAGCACGCTGGCAGCGCTGGCCGCCCTGCTGCTCGTCCGCCAAACAGGTGCGTGTCGGGGTATTTTTTTTGTTTTATTTTGCTTCCCGCGTCAGAGTGTCACTAACCGTGTGCTGCCTGCAGTAGCCGGCAGGGTCCCTTCAGAGGGAGCTGCTGCAACGAATGGCGCCTACAGGTGACTTACATTAACGCTTACTTCGCCTTTCCAATCACCCCTTTACTTTTTACTTACCCTACACCTGAAATCATTCAGGAGGCAAAGTATGGAATCGTGGCATATCGGATGCGTAATTTGACGAAAAGCTGTGCAGTTGTTTGGTGCAACAGCTTACACTGAATTTACCACCATCATGCATAGTATGTGAAGTTTGTATTGACTAAATGCTAAATGGCTTTGCGGTTATGAATGTCATCATGATTCATGATCATGTCAGCATCAGCATATCTTCTTCAGAAATAGCTGTACCTCAAAACGCATCTATTTCAAACTCCCTCGTAACAACAAGGACCAGAGGCCTGCCAAACATTAAAGTTAAACAATTAACTCCAGTCGTCTTAGGGAGAGGATTGTTTATCTCCTGATTTAAGGCTTGGCGCAAATTAAACTGTCACTTTTCCTCCTCCTCCTCCTCCTCCTCCTCCTCCTCCTCCTCCTCCTCCTCCTCCTCCTCCTCCTCCTCCTCCTCCTCCTCCTCCTCCTCCTCCTCCTCCTCCTCCTCCTCCTCCTCCTCCTCGTCCTCGTCCTCGTCCTCCTCCTCCTCCTCCTCCTCCTCATCGTCATCATCAAATTCATCACTCACCATCAGCAGCAGCAGCAGTAGCATCATTTACTATCATCATCATCTCCACTTTCATCAAATAACACATGAATAAACAAAATAAAATAAACTAGAGCTGGCGCAAGGGAGTTGCCACTGATTTGCGTGCGATTATGAAGCAACGCGGTAAATGCCGCATAATCCGCACCATAAGCTGCTGACTAGCACAAAGGTGGCAACAGTCGAGTGATCTGCCTTGACCTCACACTTGAAACCGAAGTATCGGTGTCGAAACGGGCCATTTGACGCAATGCAGGCCTGCCAGCGGCGTGCGCGGCAGCAGTGCAGGCTCGTGCTGCTGGAACCGCCACCGGCACCGGCAGCAGCGCGATCGGCGAGGAAGTGTGAAGGTCGCTCTGGGTCGCACCGGAGCCCTCTCGACCTGCCACCAAGGTCGGTGCCCGCGGGCATCCCTGAGGCCAGGTCACTCGCCCCTCCTCTCCGTGTTGATAGGCGTGTCGACGATGTTTCCGCTCGAGCACGCCGCGAGTCGTCTCATGATGTACGCGAGGTATGCCGGGGTCGTGAGTCGACTGTTGTGATTCACGAACCGTGAACCGTGAGCTCTGAGCCGTGATTAGTGGACGTAAATCGTGACTCGTGGCCTGGCGTAGCCTCGGCCGCGTCACGGCTTGCGGCCAGTGGCACGTCGCTCGGAATTAGATGGCGCATCTGGGCCAAGGCGGCGACGGCTCCCGTGGTCGAACGCGCGCCAGAAATGATGAACAGGCTTCGGAGAATGGGAGAGGCGGATACGCTTGGATAAACGAAATGTAAATGTGAATACTGTAAACAAGTTTCTAGCTGACCTAGCCGATCACAGTGGCTTACAGTTCACCGTCAGCGGCACTTCTGTGATCGAATGATTCACTTCAAAGGATATTTGCCTAAGCGCATCATGTTCTTCTTCAGTTTGTCTTTGTTCGTGGTCGGTAATTTGAATAAGTCCGTCGAAGGTCACAAGGTCATGAGGAGGTCATCATGTGACCTTCAGCGTCAGCCAGTGTCCTGTTCCTACTTCAGATGCTGCTGCTGACAGCATGCAAACTAATGCGACTAGCTGGTGACTGTGGCATTAGCATATGCCAAAGACGGAATCTGATATCAACTGCTACGTCAATGGAATTAGGGACTATTACGCCGCAAATACAAAGTAAGATTCGACATTTGCGCCATGTTGCATAACATTTGTTAACCAATATGACAGGCATTCAACGAGATGCCTTTGGCGTTTGAAAACCTTTCAACAAAACAACGATTTGACGTTGGAAGTATTTTGAGATGTTTTAAATTGGAAGGGACAATTCAAAGCCATCGGTAAAAGATGCAGACAAATATTCCTATTGCATAGGATATGATTATGCAATACCTGCATGCCTAGCTATTTGACTTTACCGCTTTGTAATATCTCCTAAGCTGAGTAATTTACCGGCAAAATGTCCAATCGTTGACCCTATCCCTCGACCTCGCTTCCCATCCTTCCCACAGAGACAGAGATCATCACTCCTACACTTTCGGCGCCGTAAAGTGCACTTCACACAATCAGCTCCGCTGAACGTTGCGCACTCCCGCACACTCTCCCGCATCCTGCGACCTGTGACGGTGCGTGAGGCGGGATTGACGCGCCGGTGACCGAATCGGCGCGCCACCGGCTCTGTTTCGTCACCGAGCGAGCCGTCGAGGCGCCGCGCCGCCGGTTACCGTTGGCACACGCCGCCCCGAGCGGTCGGACCGGCCGCGCCCCACTACGGCAGTGGACTCCGCTGTGGAGCTGGTGGGAGTGGTCGAAGGCTGTGACAAGGCTGAATCTGTGTGACACGTGTAGTTAAAAGTGCTAAGTGATAACGATCAAGATAGAGCGCCTAGCAGCAAGCGTTTCAATCTCCGTAGTCGGTTGTGAATGTGGACCGGCTTTGCTCAATGAATACCTGTAATACTGCGTCGAATATGTCGAATACCTTTGCAAAAGGCAAAAGTTCTGGGGAAAGTTCAGTTTCTAAAACTACGAGTGAACTACGTAAGACTCGTATGTGACATTCCCAAAAAAATGTAAGCATTCTACGTAGCATCACAAAACTTTTGCCAATTTTTCCTGAGCCCTCTGCATGTTTGAACGCGGGTCTTCTCGACGGCGGGTCTTCTCTCGGTGCCGATTTGTCCGCTGAGGTGTACGCGTGTCCATTGACGTGTCCATGTGTCCGCAGGCGGACAGCTGTCCCCCGGGGAGTCGTGTCCAGCCGGGGACCGCCAGCAGCTCAGCGGGTGCCTGTCGGCTGCTCTGGAGCGCCTCCGACCCTTCTTCAGAAGCGGTAAGTCGCCAGCGATGAACCGAAATCATTAATAGTAATGGGGAATGAGAATTTAATTTATAGGAATGAGGAATGGCGACCAAACAGCCCTAGTCATCACAGGCAATACCTTTATTTTCAAAATTATTCAAGTATGCTGCTCTCAGTATCCGTCGATAAATCTATTGTTTCCTGGCGATGGAAATGAACCATTTTCATAAACGCACATAACATCCCAAATTCTGACACTTTACGCAAAAACGCAAAATCGAATTGGCAAAAAATCGGGAAATCAGCACAAATAACTTTGCTGAGTTAGCAAAATTTCTAATTAATAACACGATATCGAAACTGAGCTCACCAAGCCAGTCGAGGGCCCCGTGAGCTCGCATAAGGTAGTTTCCAGGAACGATCGTGACATTCAAGTATCATGCATCAGTCGGATGCCGGGTGCGGTATCAGCCAAAGTTGCAGGACTTCGAGCACGGCTGGCTTGCGCAACAATCATCTATTGACGTGCGAGCCGCACATTTTGAACATTCATTCACTGATAATGCGATTGTGGATGTAGGTAAGCTGCAGTCTATGCGGTTTTTCTGCAGGTCCTGGCATCGATCCGGCTGGCTGGCCCGGTTGGGTCTGTTGAGCCTGCCCTAGAATATCTCCGGCTTGCGTAATGGGGTTAGCGAGGCATGCGGTCAAGGACGAGCATCTGTAGGTACTTACTCAGTGTACATATGTGCCTTACACCGCGTCACGGGAGAAGACCGTAAACATGAAGCCCACAAAACCGAAAACCAGTTTAATCTCGTGATTTATTACTGGTTCAAGACGACTGATGGCGCTTGTACGTACCTGCGAGAGGTATATGTGTAGTTGCACGCCAAGCTTTCTGAATTGTTGTTAGGCAGAACAGATCCACTGAATGTGCAGGTCTTCGAACTCTGTATCTGTAAAAATACCAACAAGTCAGTCGACTATAACCTTGGGCTGGAATTTTATTGCTATTAGCGATTATAGCGACGCCAACATACCTACGATTATCTTGATTGATACCATCAATAAGTATGCATGTACTACCAATAGATACAGCAAATTTTGTCTCGTCAAATTATTCCGCGATACCCAAATCAGCAGCTAACGGATCGGGGACTGCGCAAACAAGCTCTGCTTAACGTGGGATGCCGGACAAAGACAATATATCAAAATCATTGTTACTAAATTTCATCTAAAAGCCTCTCGTCTTCGAACGAACTCTTTTGTGACCTCTTCAGCAGCTCTTCTTGACCCTTTTTGTCTTCGTTTTCCAGGCATTCCCGAGAACAACATCCCACCGGGCGACCCGCTGACCCTGGAGCAGGTCAACTTCCGCGACGGACCGCTGGAGGCCCAGTACACCGACGTCGTCGTCAGGGGGTTCTCCGCCTTCGTGCTGCACAGCCTGGAGTGAGTGAGCATCAGCGCTCGCCGCTCAGCATGGCGTATGCGGTGCTGTAGCTTTCATTAAAGGTATTAGTTTGTGAGTCCTTCCAAAAGAGCAAAAGTGCGTCATACTTCACTGGAATCTCTGCGACTCCCTCTGACCGCGAATGACCCGATCTTCCCCTCCGCGTGACTTGAGCTGACCCGTGCTCTGTGCCTCCGTGTGAATAGAATCTGACTGACCTCACCCGTTCTCCCCAGCGTGGATCCGTTCGGCCGGCGGCTGACGTTCAACTTGACCGTGCCGGTGGCGAACCTGGCCGGCCGCTACAACGTCAAGGGCAACATCCTGGGCGCCACCATCAGCAGCCGTGGCACGTTCGCCTCGGAAATTCGTAAGTCGTAATGTTTTTGCAATGTATCGTAATATATTCATAATACCTATATGTACGAAAACGGACGACTCAATCGCGAATATGCGCGGGATGCTGCAAACAATGGGCGCAAAAGTGAAGCTGCAGGACAGCGGTGGTTCCACTTCCAACATTACCGCCGTTACCCCTCTCAACCGTTTTGTATGTGATATACTGTTTTAGGTACCGCAATTTTGATACCGAAACCCATATACCCAATGCCGTGTGAAACTCCGATTTATCCATTGAAGTTTTAAATGAGCTGCGAATATATATGTGATAATATGCCTATTGCCTACTTATATTATTTGTTATCTGCATGAAACAGCTATTGGCCTATATCAGTTCATGAAACCGACGATCGACACATTATCTCATTTCACTGTTGCCCCCAGAAACTGTGGAGATCCTTGGATTCGGTGAGCTTGGTTTGCGCCAGTCACCGGACGGCCTGTCAGACCACGTGCAGGCCACCAACCTTCGAGTGAAGCTGGATATTGGCCCCACGCATCACCAGATCAACTACGAGGCCAACTCGGAACGTGACCGAGTCATAGGTGGGTTCACACTTCACATACAGGGACGAAGTCACCGGTTATGGGTGGGGCGACGTATGCAGGTCAAGGGAGTATACATCGTTAAAGGTGAAACGCACTGATCCATTAGAACAGAACAAGGTTGTGTGCGCCACGTGATTTGAAGGCGCTACAGTGATAACAGCTTTTCAAGAAGAAAGCACTGGGCAGTGAGAGTAAGCAAACAATAAATACAATAAACCCGCGCCCCACTGGGGTCTGCGTATAACACGCCCTACTGGGGGGGGGGGGGGCTATTCATAGCCCCCCCTCCTAACTCCGAAACTACTGGGCCGATCGTCAAAATTCAAACGGCGTCTGATAGCCCCGGAAAAACTGTCGAGCGAAACCTAATTTCATTGACCTCGAGGCCACCGATGACGTCACAGGTCAGGTCAAAGTAAAAATTATTAGCATTTTGCTTGTTCACGTTTTGGGCTCTGGCCGCCGTCTCACAAGTCAGATCAGGCTCATTTTTGGATCACACACTCGTGAACAAATGCTCTAGATACCCCGAGGGTACCAAACTTGTACTTTGATTTTCAGGTCAAGGTCAGGTCATCACAGGTCACGAAAATATTATGTCATGCGTCGGTCACGTGACACATGTTTTATGGTCCATTTAGGCCAGAGATTTCGAATGTGATGTCGTCTGTGTCATTCGAGGTCATTTTGAGTCGAATTTAGCTTAGGTCAGGTCACTTTCAGGTCAAAAAAGGTCAAATTTTGAAGTTAAAATTTTTCAACAAAAAAGGTGTCTAATGGAAGCAGTTTGAGCTCAGGAACACGATGGTGCTATTTATATTGGCGTACTATGTCAAATACGTGCTGAAAAATTGATTTGAAAAATTAATAATTGTGAATTATTTGCAATAATGCGTAAAACTTGGCCATTTTTGAAGATATTTAGCTAAAACTTGCTAGAGTTAGTCATAATAATGCGTTCTATCACATATATTCCGGTTTTTTCGAAAAGTCAAAAACTTTTTGAAAAAAATGTAAAAAAATAAATTTTGGATTTTATTATATCAAATTTTCGAAATTTTCAAAATTTCGAAAATCCGAGATAGCAGTTTGATAGCGCAGTCTATTCTGAGTCCTCTCATGCAAAGAAATTGGATCTAGCTTAAAAACTGAGCTCTTGGGAGCGATTGCCGTGGTTCAATGTTTTGCGTCGAAATCGGCCGAACATGACGTCACTCTGACGTCATTTCCGGCCGACCTATGGTAGCTACGAAGTTAAAATTTTGACACAAGGTGTCAAATTGATGCAGCCGAAGGTACTGAAAGTTTGGCGTCGATAAGTCAAGCGGTTTGGAAGTTATCGCAGAAAAACGGGAGGGGGGGCTATAAATAGCCCCCCCCCCCAGTGGGGCGCGGGTAAATGAGGGATCAGTTCCCAAAAGCCGCCCTTGCTATCCGATAGTTCGCTAAAATGTTGTGTGTGATCATTACAGGTGAAACTGTCCGCAAGCTAGTCACGAGAAACGACAAGATTCTGCTGCGGGACGTTTGGCCCGAGATCGAGACCAAGGTGGCGGAGGTGATGTCGCGGCTGGTGAACCAGGTGCTGACTATCATCCCGGTCAGCTCGGCCGCCAGCGGCGTCGGGCCGGCGCAGGGGGCGCTCCAGGCGCGAGGTTTCGCCGGATAAGTGCAGGCAGCACGGTCGCGCTGCTGCTTCAGCAGGCGTGCAGCGGACGCTGTCCCGAGACGTTTTCACTGTGATTTTTATAGCGAGCCAGCGACTGAACGCGCTCCTGCTGCTAGGGGCGATTTGCGGATACATGTTACGGCTATGAGCCAATTCGCTGCTTTTCATGCGATGTGTGAGAGGAGCAAGGAATGTGTGCGCTTGCGCAATGTGTCCACGGTCTTGTGTCCACTGCGTTTTTGGGAATTAGCAGCCTGATCGATAAATGAAGAGTTATCCCAAATGTCTACGTTATTTGAAAAGTGGTCTCTTCACTTATTAACACCGAACACGCGCACCGACGGGGGTCTGCGCCAACTTAGTACCGACGGGGGGCCGATGACCGACCCCCCCCCCCTGGGATCTCGAGAACGAAGCAAGATAGCGACAAGCGGTAAACGGCATCGGATACGCACGGACAAGGTCTACAATTTTTACAAAGGTCATTTTCAGGTCAAGTCAAATATGACGTCACAGGGGTCGAAAAAGTCAAAATGGCGACGCTAGATAAGGAGAGTTTTTCTCGAATAACTTTCGAATTAGTCAAGATAGGAACAAACTAAGGTTATCATCGTGATCCTCTCGTCAATCCGCATCGAATGATACATACGTTGAACTCGAAAGATCAAGGTCAAAGGTTGACCTCAGGTTACGTGACCTCGAGGTCATCATGTATATCATTCGATGCGTCTTGACAAGCTGAACACAATGAGACCATCCGCGCGGCTGTATCTTGTTCCTGTACGGAGTAATTGGCAAAAAACCTTTGGTGACCTTTGATGACGTCACATGACTTTACAGCTGCCCAACAGCAAAACAGACCTCAAGATAGTGAAGGTTGATCGTATATGAGGTCATGTATGGTATATGGGGCCATTCCAACCCGTTTTAGTGGTAAAAACAGGGAGTTGGTTCCCCCCCCCCCCCATTGACTTATAATGGTGAGGTCGAGAAATTGACCTGACCTTAGGTCACCGATATCAAAATTCCGAGATATAAAAATTGTAGATATTAATGACCTAATAACATCCTGCGACTTTCAAAGGCCTCCGACATCTACTGTAGCTCTGGCAAGGTGACAAAGTTGCAAAAAAGTGACTTAAGAGGTTGGGTCATTCAAAGTGACCTGGTGACCTGACTTTAAAAGTTAGGAGGTTCAAACTTGCACACCATGTGTAAAATTGATGAGAGAATAGTCGTACTAAATTTCCGGTTTTCCCGCTATTCGCGAAAAACCTCAGGGGGGAGGGGGCGGATATCCGTCCCCCCCCCCGTCGGTGCGCGTGTTAACCCGCGCGGGGCTGGGGTCTCCAGCCGAACGCGCGGGACTGGGGGGGGGGGGTAAATTTACCCCCCTTGTTATCTCCCGAACTAATGGTCCGATTTGGAAAATTCGAACGCCAATCGAAAGATCTCATCACGAACAACTAAAACATGTACTTAATTTAACCCGCGAGTTGCTGGGGGGAGGGGCGTTAAACGCCCCCACTTTTTTCGCCGGGCCATAGCATAACAACGGCGCGCCGCAGGCGCGCCAAATTTTGGATACCTGTAGAGAATTGATTGAAGTTTATTGTGACAAAGTTTCAAAAAAATCGGTCGGAAAATGTTTGAGATATCGAGGTTTCAGTGACGTCATGACTTCTGAGTTTTCGACCAAAAACGGCATATGTTCAAAAAATCATATAAAATCACAGAATAAAAATACAGACATGCCGTAAACGCCATTAGACTGCCAATACCATGATCAATCGAATGGTTATCTTTCTAGTTGAGGTTTATTTGCCATTGGGTCTACAGTGCAGGGATATTTCTATCTCGCACTCCTCTGAGATGCAAAGATAAGAATTTGTTATCTCTGCATCTCTCTGAGATGCAAAGATAAGGTCTCGAGGGTTCATAGCCAAAAATCAAGAGTTCAACTGATGATGGGTCAATAACCGAACGGCATTTTTAATGGCTGTTTAGGTATGAAACTTATGAAATAAAAACAAACTACTCTAAATCTTTTTTACATAGATGAATACATTTAAATATAATATTTAATTAATTAAGAATAAACCTCAACATAGAAAGATATAGGATTCCTCATGGCTCACTCGTGGAAGATTGAATATCTTTTCCTCGCGTGTTACCGAAAAACCTCGCTCCTTCGTCGCTCGGTTTTTCAGTAACCCGCTTGGAAAAGATATCCTTATCTTCCACTCGGAGCCATGAAGAATCCTCTATATCTTCAATTATTGATTATCGTTCCGCATTTTCCAAAATCTTGAACTGAATCTTGGCAATTTTTCGTGACCATGATACATGAATTTCTTAAATTGAACTTTTTGAGCTAAACACGTACACATATGATAAAATGAATGTCACCATCGTGTTCTACGCCCCAAATCACCTATAAAACATGTGTCACAGGCTGCGAATATCAGTTTTAATTTTCGGGGATATGTGCCTACCCGGTTGACCTGACCTTGACCCTGACCTATGCTTGACTGACCCCTATATGGAGCTGACACTCTTGTAGGCCTTATAAGATGGATTGTGCACCGTTTTGACAGAGTTTATGGCGAGAGGCGCCCATTGCGAAGTCCTGAAGTCCATGCTACTGAAAGCCCGATTTCAGGTGTTTGACCTGACCTTGACCCGACCTGTAACCTCAAAATTCAACTTTAACCCGCGCGGGGCTGGGGTCTCCAGCCGAACGCGCGGGGCTGGGGGGGGGGGGGTAAATTTTACCCCCCCTGTTATCTCCCGAACTAATGGTCCGATTTGGAAAATTCAAACGCCAATCGAAAGCTCTCATCACGAACTACTAAAAACATGTACTTAATTTTAAGTTTGAGGTCAAGGTCAAGGTCAGGTCAAGGGTACAAATTGCAAGTTTCTACAGTATCGGCCTTGCACCGTAGTTGCCGAAGAATGGAGTCATGGACTGAGACTGATCGCCCAAAACGTGTTCTTAGGCTACCAAGACAATATTCGTTGCATACAATATCATTCAGAGGTCAAGGTCAAGGTCAGGTCAGGTCAGGTCAGGTCACCAAAAAACAAAATATAGAAAAGGGCATGTGCGACACATGTTTTATGGGTCATTTTACTCATAGAATTCAATAGGCACACTCAATAAGTGATATGGACCACCTCTGGATAAGTTTCAGGTCGAGGTCAGGTCAAGGTCAGGTCAAGTGAGGTCAAATTTTGAAGTTGGTTGTTAAGGCCTAAAAAGGTGTCTATCTGATGCAGTTTTTCACGGCGAATCGAATGGTGCTATTTTTGTTTCCGTACGAGGTCTAGAACTTCCAAAAAAGTCATTTTTCAAAAAATTTGTGTGTCGTGACGTCATAAAATTTTGAATAACTCCCACATTTTTGAACCGATTCTTCTAAAATTTGGTATGTAGGTGCACATAGACCACTTCTCTGACATATATTCCGGTTTTTTCGATAGACTCATAATTTTGGATTTTATAATAATTTTCCCAAAAAAGTTAGTTTTTTGAAAAAATTTAGGCCAAAATCCAAAATTTTCAAAAAACCGAGATAGCCATTTGATAGACAAAATAAAATTACGTATAACCTTTTTTGTTACGTCTTGATTCCTTTAAAAATGAAGATGTTAGCGGCGTTTGAACTTTTGCCGTTTTTGAGGCGAAAATGACGAACATGACGTCACTAAAACGTCAGTTTCTCAAAAATTTTCCGACGGATTTCGCTCAAATTTTCAGGGAACGTGTCAAATTGATGTAAGAAAAGGTACTGAAAGTTTGGTGGCGCTGCACGCCGCCGTTTTTGAGATATTGCCGAAATTCGCGAGGGGGGGTAAAATTTACCCCCCCCAGCCCCGCGCGGGTTAAAGTACTCATCTGAAGCGTCTCGTCGCGCTCTTTCGTTTGCCGCCTCGTGCGTTTCGCTGCGCCTATTGGTTCTCGAGTTATCGGCTGGGGGCGTTTAACGCCCCCCCCCCCCCCAGCAAACGGTGGGTGGCGAAATACCCCAGCAACTGCCGGGTTAAAGTTTGAGGTCAAGGTCAAGGTCAGGTCAAGGGTACAAATTGCAAGTTTCTACAGTATCGGCCTTACACCGTAGTTGCCGAAGAATGGGGTCATGGACTGAGACTGATTGCCCAAAACGTGTTCTTAGGCTACCAAGACAATATTTGTTGCCTACAATATCATTCAGAGGTCAAGGTCAAGGTCAGGTTAGGTCAGGTCAGGTCACCAAAAACAAAATATACAAAAGGGCATGTGCGACACATGTTTTATGGGTCATTTTACTCATAGAATTCAATAGGCACACTCAATAAGTGATATGGACCACCTCTGGATGAATTTCAGGTCGAGGTCAGGTCAAGGTCAGGTCAAGTGAGGCCAAATTTTGAAGTTGGTTGTTCAGGCCTAAAAAGGTGTCTATCTGATGCAGTTTTTCACGGCGAATCGAATGGTGCTATTTTCGTTTCCGTACAAGGTCTAGAACTTCCAAAAAAAATCATTTTTCCAATTTTTTGTGTGTCGTGGCGTCATAAAATTTTGAAAAACTCCCACATTTTTTAACCGATTCTTCTAAAAATTGGTATGTAGGTGCACATAGACCACTTCTTTGACATATATTCCGGTTTTTTCGATACACTCAAAATTTTGGATTTTATACCTATTTTCCCAAAAAAGTCAGTTTTTTGAAAAAAAAATGGGCCAAAATCCAAACTTTTCAAAAAACCGAGATAGCCATTTGATAGACAAAGTAGAAAGACGTATAACCTTTTTTGTTACGTCTTGATTCCTTTAAAAATGAAGATGATAGCGGCGTTTGAAATTTTGCCGTTTTTGAGGCGAAAATGGCGAACATGACGTCACTAAAACGTCAATTTCTCAAAAATTTTCCGACGGATTTCGCTCAAACTTTCAAGAAACGTGTCAAATTGCTGTTAGAAAAGGTACTGAAAGTTTGGCGGCGCTGCGCGCCGCCGTTTTTGAGATATTGCCAAAATTCGCGAGGGGGGTAAAATTTACCCCCTCAGCCCCGCGCGGGTTAACCCGCGAGTTGCTGGGGGGGGGGGCGTTAAACGCCCCCACTTTTTTCGCCGGGCCATAGCACAAAAACGGCGCGCCGCAGGCGTGCAAAATTTTGGGTACCTGTAGGGAATTGATTGAAGTTTATTGTGACAAAGTTTCAAAAAAAATCAATCGGAAATTTTTTGAGATATCGAGGTTTTAGTGACGTCATGATTTCTGAGTTTTCGACCAAAAACGGCA